CAGTAAGAGAAGAGATCCAGATCGATGAGGCATAGTTCACACACGAGAGCAAAACCAAACTGGTTGACGGAGAGTATGCGACGCCATTGAAGACACCAAAATGTCAGGAAATTTCCAAGCAGTTCATCAACTTACACACCTGCCATGGCGCCAACAATGTGTAGCAACAAGGCGGAGTAAAAAAGGGTCTTCGGACGCAGGGCGACAAAGGAAATGGTAGAGATCGTGGACGGCCAGCTTCGGGTCACAGCCGGGCTCAGCCGGGGTGGCAGAAGAGAAGCAGTTCGGCACAGCCTTGTACGTGGCTGGGCCTGAGTAGCGCAAAAACCACACTGAACTTTGGGAAAGAGGGGGGCATGTTTTTCCGGCACGCCTTTTTGCCGCGTGAGCCCTGTCAGCCGGCTTTGTTGACAGTTTTTATACTGGCTTGTCCCCAGATATACAAAATCCAAAACCCACCACGGGTAGTGGCTGGGGAGTCGGAGGGGGGCCAGGGCAGTGCAAAAGCAGGTTGCTGAATTGTGGGTGCCACCCCTCCAAAATCCTTGGTCGTGTATCCTGTGTCCTGGTGATGTTTCATTCTCCCTATTACGTTTCTCAGTTTTCTTCCTTTTTGTCGGGTTTTCCTCCTTTTTTTTCTGTCACTTCCCCTGGCTTGGCTTGACCTGATCTCAGCTCCATGCGTTCCAACAGTGGCTCCAACATTATTTCATCCTCTCCTTCTTTCTCCTCTCACTCTCTTCCTGTTCCTCGCTCCTCGTGACTTTCTCCTGTCTCAGCCTTTGCGTGTGCTGAGCCTGATGCCGCTTCTGTTCTGTTGTACGGTAGCGTTCACCTGCTCGTGTAATGCTCCACAGCTTCCGTTCTGATGTGAGACACGCACGCTCCATTCTGGTCTTCACCCACTCATTCATTTGCTTCGTGTTTGACTTTTTCTAGCCACCTTCTTGTTCCAAAGGGTTCACGTTTCTGTTGCCCTGGCGATGCCAGTCTGTTAACCTCTGTCCCACTCACCCTTCTCAACTTTTCATTGTTTCTTCATGTTTGTCACGCACGGCATCAGATTCAAACCGTAGGTATCACGAACTTTTTGCGTTGGGATTTGAGGTCAACACATGTTCTAAACTTTGGAAAGCTCTTGAAGCAAGGCTGTGTGCTCTCTTGAGACCACGAACGTGTGCTCCTGGAACATCAGGAGGGGAAGGTGAAGATCCCGGCCGGAACGCAACTCCTCTGTCGTACCAATAAGTTCATGCGATCATGTTCGCAGTGCATCCCGACAGCCATCAAGAGCCTGCTAGGTTGCGCATCAAATGTCGGGTGGTCTGACTTCGAGGCCGAACGCGGCGCACAAAAATTGCACGACCATTTTCATTTAGCATATTTTTGTTATATTGTGGGTACCCCCGCTGGTAATCCTTAATCCTAAGGGGGGTTATGGATTACAAACCATCGGATTGTCCGGTTTGGGGTGGGCTACGGGTTAAAACTCAAAACCCGCGTTTTGAGACTAGGATTGCGGATCAGAGCTTGAGGCTGTTCGGCATGTGCAGCTCCTTCCCATTGGTGAAACAACTCTGGAACACCTTTGGCTCCATGGCTCCATTACCCCAGCTGGTGCGATGGTTATAAGGCATTATAAGGACCCGTATGACCCCCAAATCCAGTGGTTTAAGTTGGTTGCTTCCAAATCGGGGTTGTGAGGATTCCTATGGCCACGAGGACACTTCACCATCCCGATGGCCACAAACACCCTTTACAATCCAGAACCCCCCAATTCAATCGTTTGAGTTGGTTGCAAATCGGGTTCGTGAGGGTCCCTATGGCCAGAAGCACCCTTCACCATCCCGATGGCCAGACGCACCCTTCACAATCCAGAACGCCCAATTCAGTAGTTTGACCCGGTTGCCTCCTTAGGCTGTGATGATCCCTATGGCCAAAAAACCCCGCCTAAACCCACAGCCAAAATTTCAATGGTTTGAGTTGGTTGCTTCCAAATCGGGGGTTGTGAGGATCCCTTCATGTGGTTTTATAGTTTTAAATCAACAGCCCCCCATTCAGGAGTTGGGATCCTTTCCATCCTACGGCTTATAGGGATTACCGATTACAAGGCTGGGTAAGGATTACGAGCTGCTGCGGATTAAGGGCTGTTCGGATTACAGGCCCTTCTCGGATTAGCAGGATTGCGGATTCGTTTGGTAGGCGCGCTCATTTTGATGAACCCTGTTTTAGTATTTTTAGTTTCTAAACGAAGTGACCATATAAGGGGTGTGGTGTGACAAAATTGTGAGCACAATGCCCTTTTTAGCTGCACTGTGACTGAGGCACTCACGTGGCAAACAAGACCGGGACACATGCCGAACAAAAGCAATCCCGGTCCGTCTGCTGATCGAAATTTTCATTACGCAAACGCCAGCCTTTGCGGAGCAAAACCGTGAATTCTTCATATTATTTTTATTGACTGGTTCTTTTCGTTTTTTGCAAACAGTGTGTTTGCGTGCGCGCGTTTGAAAAACAATTGCGCAAAACAACTGTGCCGGCTTTCAATGAACTTGGCCTCTTATGGGCCTTGTAGAGATTACCGAATCAGTACGACCGCAAAAACACCAATATTTTTTGAAGAAGGTGTGCTGGAAACCTGTTGAAATCGTGAACAACAGTTTTTCGGACACCTGTTTCCAAACCCTTTACCACGACTTGCATGTTGGTTTCTGCTGGCTGTCCTTCTCCGCTTCTCAGGTTGTGTGCTCTCTTACGGCATGACTCCCTGCATGCACAGCGTTGAGGGAGATCGTGTGTTGACCGTGTTAAAGATCACGGCGCGCAATTCACGAAAGGTAGCTTGAGCTACCTGAGTTCTCCTTGCTTGAGCAAAAATGTATTACAATCAGGAGTTGGGATTGTGCATTGAGTTTGGTCCTGTAAGAGTTGATTCTGTTCGTGGGGGGGGGCCCCCCCCCCTGGATCAAATCCCCCCTGCGCCGGTTCACGCCGTCATGGACTTCTAGCAGGGTTACTTGTGATTGCCTGCTACCTTTCGTTCGCCCCCTCCTCTCTCAAGTATGAATTTTCCGTTCCAACTGTTTGTTGACAACAAATCCAAAAGTTGCCCCTACCATGCGTGCGAATGCCTGCAATTGATTTGAATTATTCAGTGAATTATACCCGCGTAGACCCCTAACAGTTTGTGCCTTTATGAAGTAAGCCAGAGACGAACTGTCAAACAGTCAACGCTTCAAATCAACCCGGACCTTCTGGGTTTGTTCCAGCGCCTGGCTCAATTGGCTCAAGGTCAGGACCAGCAATTCAGACGAAAACTGTACATACGCTAGTCTGTTGAATATACTGAATTGTATTGAGATGTGGCTTCATCATGCTGTGCTGCGTTAAAAGATGTTTAAAGCTTTCAACCACAAGTGAAGACCCGGCCAAGGCCAAGAGTATGTAATGAGGAGACAAGCAAAAGACAACTCCGGCCAAGTGTGCCCAGAGTAGTCTGAGGCAAGCGGAGGCAAGTGTAACAAGAAGGGGGACAAGTGGGAGACAAGTGGGAGACAAGTGCATATAAAATCATTTGACCAAGAGTGTCTAAGCAGGGAACTAGCAAAGAGGCAAGTGGAGACAAGTGTAAAGACATCCTGCCAAGCGTATCCAGGGTAGGCCGAGACAAGTGGAGAGAAGGGTAAGGAGGGAAACAAGTGTAACATCATCCGGCCGAGAGTATCCCAGCAAGGGAAAAGCAAAGATACAGTATAAAAACATCCGGCCAAGTATCCGGAGTAGGCCGAGACAAATGTAAACTCATCCAGCCAAAACCTATTTAAGAAGGCCAAGAGGACAAGTGGAGACAAGTGTTAAAAACACCCGCCCAACTGTATCCAGAGTAGGCTCAGACAAGTGGCCGGCCAAGAGCAAGGAGACAAGCAGGGAGACAAGTATAAAGACACCAGGTAGGCAGACGAAACAGCAGCGCAGGAATCCAAGCCCGGAGACAGGAAAATCATTCGGCCTATAATCAGAATATAAGAGCCCCACACAGGTAAACATGGAAGACAAATGCAAAATCATAGCACGTACTGGGACAGAAGTGGGGGACAAACGCAAAATCATGCGACCAGAAGACCCAGGGAGTGTACTGGAGACAAGGCAGGCAAGTGGAAGACAAGTGTGGCATCATGCTGCCAGAGCACCAGAGCATATTGCAGACAAGGAAGACAACGAAGACAAGGGAGACAAGTGTGAAATCATGCAACCAAAGCAACCACAATGTGGCTGAAACGCAAGCCCGGAGACAAATGTAATATCATGCGGCCCGGGCATGCAACCCTTTCAAAGGAGTAGGAACTCCTCACAGGTAAACCTGTTTGGGGAATAAAGGTTTAATCCATCCCGTTGTGCCTTTGGGACCGCCGGCGTGCTGTCATTGTTATTGCAAGTGCTGCCCCATGCACCGATTCAGTTTTGAAGCAGGCTAGTCCTCATCGCACGTTTTGCTTTCGCCACAGGTGTCGTCATATCAACAACGTTGCCGCCATGTCTTCCACAAGTGTGGCTGCTGGCATTCACCCACCACACTTCCGAACTACTTGTGATGGAACATCTCGCAGCTTGCGCTGGCATCGTTGGCGAAAACATGTCAGCGACCATGAATGTTTCCAGGGACAGTATATTTGCATATATTTGCCACAGAGTCGCTATGACCAAGATCAAGTTCTTGAAACTTTTGGTTTGGCAACTTGCAAAATTGTTGTTTTTGGGAGCTGTTTTTGGGGCATTGGGCAATCCTCGTCGGAGTTGCACCGGCATTTGCGCTAGAAATCCCCAAAAGCGGTGCAATGGCCATCCACGGCACAAAAATGTTGATTATGGTTCATGATGGTTCATGACATGTCAACCTTTTCTCGCTGCTCGGGGTGGTCACTTTGCTGCGCTTTGTGGCTTATTTTGGCTAGTGGAAATCTGGGAACACTGGCGTCAATTGACGTCGACCTTTTTCGGACATGGGCCCGGCCCTCTGAGATGACCGGCGCCAAAATCAGTTCATATGCGTTTGTTGCTGGACAAGAATGCCAGGTGCGCAATGCTCATGTCAGGCCTGTCGTGCGTGAAAAATGGACTTGTGCACAAGAGTGGGTACCGTCGATCCTTGTCCGCAAGGCCGTGCCAGAGGCAGACTACACAGATGAGCTGCCCGTTTCGCCTCTGAAGGCATTGTTTTTGACCGGGTCGGCGTTGGCCTTGAAAAGAGAAAACCTATTTTTCACGCTAATTTTGTTCTGACGGCAGCTTTTTGTCAGGAATTTTACGTTTCTTCTACCGCCGAATGTTCGAGTGAGGATGTGCCTTCCTTAGTTTCTTAAAGTGTTTTTTGCTTCTTCAACCATTACTTTTGTTTCATATTTTCTGACGTATGTGGATTTTGCAGGTTGCAGGTTGCACGGGTGGAGCCGAGGTTTTTGCAGTCCACACTCCTGGTTCCACCAGTGCCTTTGCTGAATCGCCATCCGTGTTGGCAGCTGTTTTGATGAGCTGCACACCATGGGCTTCCCATCCAGTTCAATGCCAGGTGTCCCGAGTGATGAGTGCAGTTGCGGCAATTTTTCCAAAGAGGCATGGACAGGAAGTGCATTATGACGGGGTTCAGTGTTCCAAGACATCAGCCTCCATAACTTGCCAACTTGTCACAATGTTGCTTTGCCAAGAAGGTCTGACACTTCATGGAGGACTATGATGGTTTCCTTTCATGCATAATGCTATAAATACTGTAGGGGCCCTGCAATTCTTGCATGCATTTATTGCGCGAAACTATGTGAAACTTGGTTGAGAGCTCTTGATTTTATAAGCAGGTCCTCCATGACACATGTTTGGTAAATCAACTGCCAGCGCCTGCCAGTCGGGCTTCAAGGAAACAGATTCCCAAGAGGACCAGCGTTGATGATTCGGGTTTCACAGGGCCTTTGAGGGCCTTTGAGATGTTCAGTCTTTTCTGCTTCCGTAGCTGTTTAGTCGGATTTTTTGGCAAGACGCTTTAGCGGGCCAGTCCTCCATGCTTAGAATAGTCGAATATAGTCGATAACTCCGGAAGGAAGGGCATTCCAACGAAAGGTACATATTATAGGTCTAGGTACAAACAAATCATGCTCCATGTTCACAATCAGATTAACCGGGACCGCCCGCGTGGCAGTTGAGCCGTTGAGCCCGTTTGCTTGCAACTAGATGATTGAGCCTGGCTGGATTTGCAGCCACCGCCAGCCCCTTTGCAGTTTCAACCGCTTGGACCGCGAGGACCTCCTGTTTCGAGGTCAAAGTGTCCGGAGCTACCGCAGTTATCACTTGGCCGGTCTTCCGGGCGATGACGGTCTGTCAGAGGTGGGGGGGTTGAGGGATGTTGAGGGTCCGAGCCGGTCTTTTGGCAGTTCTTGTCGCCACCCTTTCGATGCGGAGTTTGCGATCTTTTTCGGCCAACCGCTTCAGGCTATCACAGGGCTTAGGATAGATCACCAAGATGTTTCAAAAAGTGATCTAACTGACTGCAGTTCTCAAACCATCACACTTTCCACGCCCTGTTAATGTGCCCCGGCCTCCTTGGTCGCCAATTGAACCGCAAAGGAACGGTCGGACTACATCCCCCTGTTTCGGCACCCGTAGGCCTCCAAATCATCGCTGACCCGACTGCAAGCGCTGGTGGAACGCGCCGACTTCCTGGCTGCAGAGGCATGGGGGGATGAAAGGATTCTTCAGCTGTGGGGCACGGTGGGCAATGGATGAATGAAGACCACAACTTGAACGTTTCGTGCATCTAATCCATCATTTCGAGCACACTTGTGCAAGCAAGTTTCGAGCGTACTCAGCCACGCAAGTTCGATCAACTTTTCCAACGTTCTGAGTGGACTCAAGGGGATCGACATCGCCCAAGGACGCAGGGTATACTCTAAATAATTAAGTCTAACCCTCTGAGTGGACGCTTGCTTCACGATGAAGGCAGAGTTAACAAGTTTGATGGAATCATTGGTGGTGCGGGACTCGGGCATCGAACTGCTGCGAAGCTCTTAGACTAAAAGTTTCAGAGGTACTGTATATGTTTGTATGAATCATTGCGTTTGTCTGTCAGACTATTTGTTTGTAGATGCTCGAAAGTAGGCCTTCTTGAGGCCACCGTTGCCCGTTACACACTATTTTCTTGAAGCAGTGGCAGATGAAGCAATGCCATGTCTCATTCACGCAAGTGATTGCGTGCCAGCATCCACGGTAGACTCAGGTTCTAGAACTCCCGAACAACTCTTACATTTGTAGCACCTCCTTCAAGATCCCTTGAAAAGTCCACGAAAACCTGATGAAACACTCGACCTTCTCACAACCCTGTTTCTCATTGTTCCTTTCTCTCTCTCTCTCTCTGCGTTTTTTTGCTCCCTATTTCCTTTTGTCTCTGTCTTTCACACCTTCGCAATGAACCTGTATAAATGCACCACAGTTTCCTCCTTGCCAAGGATCCTGCCAGCGCCGACGAGCGGGCGATCATCTCCGCTTCGCAGGGTGCTCGGTGGTGCATAGTGCAGCGCGCACATGGATGCATGTTGTGTTGAAAAGGGCGTGTGGGTTGTTGGCGCTGCACTAGGCCGTTGGTGATGCACATCAAAGATGAGCTGCGGCTGTACCGTGAGGCCATTTTAGACGATACGCTTTCCGAATTCCCTTCTTCTTGGACATTGCAAGAGGGGCTAAGGATGGCTTAAAGATGTGTATATATATATAATATAAATAATCTCAAACATGTTTTCGTTCTGAATGCGTGTTTGGTGTCTTTGGTCCTGGTGACATCGGCCCCCAGCAATTTCACACATGTGGAAGTTCTGTGTGGTCCTTGCAAAGGTGGGGCAGCAGTGCAGGGACCTTGGCTTCATCAAATGCACTCAGGGTTCTCAGGGCTCCACTCATTCTTCCACATTGGAACTGCAAGGAGTTTTGGCAGTACTTTTCCACTGGTTCTGGCCTCCCGCAAGCCATCCAAAAGCTCCGGTTTAGAAGCAGTGCGAAGCAGTATAGACTAGTGTATTGAGTACATCAGAGGCACTAGGGAAAGACAAGTCAATCCAAAACAACTGTGTGCCTCTGTGAGGTGGCAGGGAGCCATGCCTAGAGAGAGAGAGAGATTTCAGTGCTCGGTAGGCAGAGGAGGCTTGACACAAGAGATTTGATAAGATTGGTCCATGTTGCTTGGGAACACCCTTTGTGTGGCTGGTTTACGTTATGCCCAGCCTTACCCACCCCAAATCAAACCCCTCTGCATCTCCCGCAAAGGTTGTCACTTCAATGAGCCTGATAGCTTTGTGGTGTACGCAAATGAGCACTTGCACCAGAGCATCCGTGGAAGCCCTGCCCCCAGCGGGCTCCACTGAAATCCGCCGTCGTGCTTCGACCAAAATCAGGGGAAACCAAGTGCGGGGGGGGAGATGGCACCGCACACTGCAAATACAAGACAGTGGTCATTCCCAGTAGTGTTTGACGGCCTCGCTATTTCAATACATTTTCGAATCATTATAAAGTTTTGTTCTTTGTTTGTTTTGTTTTGTCCTTCCTATCCCAAGATATGAGAACACCATTTTTATCCTTCTGTGCTGCAGCCGACCTCCGTCATTGCACGACGATCCTGTACGACAATTCCGCTGCAGTGTTTTTGAGCTTGGATCCGCATGCAATTCCGTATTTTTCTTGTCTCTGAATCGATCAATGAATGATTGATCGTCATTTGGGGTCCCTCAAGCCAGTGTTCTGGCATGTTTGCCAGAGAGGTGTCTAGGAGTCTAGCATAGGGGAACGGACATAATGACCTTCTGGATTTTTATACTGTAATATTTTATAATCACTTTTTTCTTCTGGTTATTTGCGATTGAGGTGCATCAATTGTATGATTGTACTACGGTGACGTTCGTAGTCTGTAGGGCACATGCACATTCATCATTTAGCCCACCATGTTGGTCCCTAACACGACGTATTCAATACACTAGAGCAGCTGGCCACAGGACGAAAACACTGTCCCCTTTGGGTATAATACAAGAGGAGCCGCAATTGTTGGGGAAGCTGGGGCACTTCAGAATTGTCCATCAACATGAATCTAAGCTTAGGGAGATGTTTTAATTCAGGGACTTCTCGCAGTTTCCAAGGGAGCTCCCATGCATCTCAAGAGCCAGTGCATTTGGTATCGCATTCCGTGACAGATGGTGGGCATGTTACCCCACAGGCGTATACAGCTTTCATACGAGATGATTTTGGTTGATGTCCTCCAGTCTGTGAGGCTTCGACCGTCACAACCCACGCGTCTTCCACTATCACTTGCGCCCGGGGCCCGGGCACAGGAGACGTATGGGGGTGGAGACGTATGGAAATCAGTGCTTTCCGATGACTTGAGGGATGATGGTCTTTAAGGACATTTTGTATTCAGCCGGACGCCGTGATTTATACAAAGTACTTTCGAGCCTCCATAAAAAGGACTTGGACCCAACTCAACAGATAAAAGGACCACTAGGTACAGAGTCTGGTTACCAGAGCATTCATGGAATTCACATGAATTCATTCATAATTCAAGTCCAGATTCTACTCCATCCTCCGTCGACCAGTACAAGTTCTATAACGTCCAAATTAATCATGACTTGATTTGGGATGAAGCTGTCCACAGGTACCAGGAAGAATTCACAGAGTCATTCCACCTGAAATCATGTCCAAAAGGCAGAGAGGTCCGTTAGGAGCCTCCCGCTCCCAATGGTTCACCTAAGGCATGGTCTTCCCGCTTCAGCTAGCGCACGTCTTCAGCGTGGCTTTCGAGGAGGAGCTGTCCACTGAATGGAACAGTGCGCGATCGTGCAAGGGATGGCAGGATCTTTGGGAGAGCCAACAGCTTTGGCTCATGAAGGCCAAGCCACAAGCTGACAGAGGAAGCCAGTGACAGGTTCTGAAGTTCGGACATCCCACGGCCCGAGGCGACAGTTCTGATGTTGGAAGAAGGATGAAGAAGGGATGGACTTGCATGATCGAAACCCTGGGTTTCGAAGGGTGCATCCTCAGTTCCAATCAGTTCCACTTCCTAGAGTCCTAGAGGTACCCCCCCCCCACCCACACACACATACTTATAGATATGCGTACGGACATGACTGCGGTGCCACACGCCGGCCTAGGTTACCATTTCCTAAGAGAGTACAGGTAAGAACCATCGAGGCCTGAGGTCTTCAAAAGGAAGAGAGGCTCAAAGCGCAAGAAACAACTCGACGATCACGGGTCGAACAGGGTGATGACGTTCCGATGCATTAACACTTTACCAAAAGATTAAAATTTGCAGGTACGTCCAGCTGGCCAAGCTGGATATCCCACCAGATTGCATAGCTTTGTTAGACACGGTCTGCAATCTCGTGCCGTGTCCCCTGCAAAAGACAAAAAGCACAGTCATTACAATCCAAGTGGATCCCTGTGACTTTAAGGGGCGCACACACACACACACATACATACACACACACACACATATATATATATATATGTACACATATACCTACAGAGAGCCTGCTATGTACTTCAGTCGATGTTGGAGGTGGAAGTCTATGTCCAGCGTCTCGTTGATGTCTCCTGATTTGCAGGTATGCTCTTAAAGGCCCCAGAGCTGATCGAAAACGAGCAGGGCCTGCACACCGTCACTTCTTCACAGGTTCGCTTGGGTTTGCTGGCCGTGGAAAAGAGCAAAAGGAGGCAAAAGGAGACGTAATGGTTTCATCACTGGGCCTATGGCATACAGATTTCCTATGGCCATACCATGCCAGACCATGCTGATTTCCGCATCCTTCGACTCGGCCCCGTCGAGTCGACCGGTGGACGTGTCCCTTGGTCCCTTGGACCGGTCGCCAGTTGTCGGCCATGTTGGGCCTTCTCAAGCTGGACGGCTCCTCAGTGCGCTGCGAGTTCACAGATTAGGTGAGAGGCCACCGCTATTAGGTTGGAGATTGTTGGAGGCCATTGCTAAAGTTCCAAGAGTTCCAACGTTGTTGTGTGGGAGAATCTCTTTTTTTTCCACCAGATTGCTGCCCTCTCCAGTTCGTGACTTTCATGTTGAGGTCACGTCCACACTTGGCATCGCAAGCGTGTTCCGCGACAATATTGGCTGAGGATTTCCTGGACCGAACCCAGCGCTTCATTGATGTTGAGGCGCCTGGTTGGTGCGCCGCAACCTGTGCAGAAAGCGTTTGTGCGTGTTTGTCGAGTCTAAGTCTTCACCGCGCCAGAGGGGTCCTAAGTCTGACAGGTGGCAATGGAACATGCTGCTACAGTCACAGTTGATGATGACATGGGCAGGATTGTGCAGTTTTGGCCGCCAGGAGCGATGCTATTCTTGCAGCCCTTTTCAGGTGTTTAACTACCCGTTCACGTAGCACGCTCTTGCTACATGTGACCTTGACTTCAGAGTCTCCCTTGTCATGGATATGGAATCAATGAATGTGGAGGGTTCGTATGGTTTGAACATGACCCTGCAAGGGCCTTGCAGCACTCTCCAGAAATGGTGGAGACACCACACCTCCCTGAAATAATCTGAATCCAACATTGGAACATGATTTTCCCATGACTCCAATTATCTCGGCTTGACAGGGTGGAATGCTGGTGGAATACATCAAGACTGTCGAAGAAGGTGGGAGGAATCTGGGAGTGCGGTCGAGGTTCGGGCTGCTTGCCCTAGCTTTTAATCCTCTTCAGTAAACTTCGCGTGAAGTATTCTATATAGGTCTGGATGTTGACTTTAGCTTCCGTGAAGGACATGCCGTCCTCGCATCGGCTGCATAAATCAGCTGAGCCTCAGATCCTCCGCAGCCGGGCTCGAGAAATGAACTCGCTGGGCTGCCATGGGCGCATGCAATGTTTGCAGCTTAGCACACTGACTGGTGCGCGGGACTGGAGGGATGCCCAACATGAAATCTGCCATGGCTGCAGAATGCCCTCCATCAGCGCTCTCACGTCATTCAGTCAACCCGTTTCTTTCACCGTCGCGAACTGTGCATGACGCTAGAAGTCAACACTTTTGGAGACTCAGCTGACAAGCGGACCTTGAATCGATTTGAATCGTGTCGGTAGCTTGCCACCTTGGTGGGCTAAGTTGGATGAACCCCCCGATTTGGCGGGGACCATGGGGGACCATGAGGAACCTATTGAACCTATTGCAGACCGGACATAGACAGGGACGGCTTAAACATGCATGCGTTCAGAAAAGACATATCCGGGGGGGCATGCGACGTACGTCCGCCGTACGTCGTTGCTCTTGGCAAGATGGAACAACTCTCCCACCACTCGAGGCCAGTGGGCCATCCTCAGCGAAAGGCCCCAAGGCTCCGGGAGTGTCCCGGCTCCGGCGGGACTGGGGGGCAGATGGAAGGCCTTGTGCCGGAGATGGACCAGCTGGAGTTGCAGATGGTTTCTTGGTTCTTCAGATTTCCTGTCAACATGAGAGGTGATGAAAGATGCTACCTCCACTTCATCTTCTTCCTTTGCCGCTGCCCCTGCGGCCTTACCTGAAGCTGCCTGAGCCTTACCATCCTTACCTTTGAATGTGCACCAGACATGGCCTTCCTTTCCTTCTTGCATTCTTGGGCAGGACCACCCGCAGCAAAGCCACCTGCCAAAGCAGGAGCCACAATGTGGCAACGTCCGGTTGCCCTGACATGTGGACGTGCAAGTCCAGATGTCCAATCGCTCGGAAGATGTGATCCGCTGAGGAAGTCCAGATGGAGGTTTAACATAACATTGCCTAACCGTCTAACATCGTCTAACCATGCCCAACCTCTGCATGCTGAGAGGACATCCCAGCTTGTAATGGGCTCCCTGTAGTTGATGAAGCCCCCACCCCCTAGAATAATGGGCACCGTTGGGTGCTGCTTGGAAGGTGCACGAGTGGGGTCGACTACGTCCAATTGCGAACAAGGAAGTGGAGAATCTCAATCTCTAGTGTGGATGAAATAGGCAAGATATGGCAAGATTGATTATCTTCTGACTAGCAGGCCGCTCCTAGCTCATGACCCCCCACAGCAGCATCACACCCTTGGCCCCTACTTGCACATTCCTGCATGCCTTTACAAGCTTCTTGGCTTGCAAAACCTCATCCAGCGCACCGCGTTTCAGGGAATCTATCTAGATTGTGTGGACTATTCCCCCAAGTTCTAGTCAGAACAATCAAGAGATTCAAGAGATGATCCCGATAGACTCAGAAGTCCTTGTCTCAGTCCGACTCATCGAACCCGACTTCGTCGAGGAGAAACTGCAGGAGGCCAATGCCCTACAGCGTCCCAAGACGGAGCTCCATACCGAGGGAAAGGTCCCCGAACCCTTCCAGGCAGGGCCTGTGGTGCTGATGTGGCGCGGGTTCCGCCTTTCCCTTCTTTTTTTGGGGTTGTGGGGTTCCAAGCTCCTACCGCAGACTCGAGGCCAAGTCAGAGGCTGACGCTGAGAAGAGGCGTTTGGCTGAACGTCAAGAGCGGCTTCTGCTGAAGGTGCGATGTGACGAGGAGGCGGGGCATGCCACGTTGACGACGCCAGTGCATGGGATTCGATGCAACAGTGACCGCTGAAGGCTCCAAAAAAGGATTGGATACTGAAGTGGAAAGACTGGATAGAACTGTGCCCAGGGCGCGGCGCATCCATTTCACGCAGCTTTCGATTGGAGTAGGTCCAGCTTCAGCCTTTGAAACAGCACCTCACTGCAGACTCAACCCCTGAAAACTCCAGCCAGGCAGGGCCAGAGGAGAAACTGCGCGACCCGCGTTGCCATTCGCGTGGCCTGGATCAAAGAGCGCGCGGACCACAGGCGTATGGACCTTTCGGATGTGACCCTGGGCGGTTGGGTGCATCGCAGAACCATTCCCATCAGATGTGGCCCACATTCCGGTGGGTTGGCCCATTTTAGAGCTACCGTGTTGCCCACATGGGCAGGTGGTTCGTGTGACTTTATCCCGTTTTTCTCCAGAAAGGTGTTGAAAGTGCATATAGAACGTTGTGCCCAAACAGTGCACTACCTAGTGAACGCTAAGCTGGTTCGCGAGCGTTGTTTTGAAAGGGGTATCCTTTCGCGACCCCGCAGGAAAAAAGGTAAAAACATAAAAAAATTGATTTTTACCGGTTTTACCGCGGATATGGTAGAAGAAAAAGGAGCGCCCCCCGGTAAAAACGGTAAGACAAATAAACTTTTTGATTTTTATCGTTTTTACCGCGGATATGGTAGAGAAAAAGGGGCGCCCCCCCCGGTAAAAACGGTAAAAACATGAAATTTTTCGATTTTACCGTTTTTACCGCGGATATGAAATTTAAACATGGAGCGCCCCCAGCAAAAAATATTTAAACAACATAACAATTTTTACCGTTTTTGCCCGGGAGATGGTAGAAAAGAAAAGGACAAGTCCACCTACAAAAACGAAATAACACAACTTTGATTTTTAACGATATGGTAGAAGCAAAAAGAGCAAGCGACTCTTCATTAAAAAAGGTAAACAACAAAAGTAGTATATAATTTTCACTTTGGACCGTTTTTACCGCGACAATGCCTCGGGACCAGGTCGCAAGCTAGAAGACCTCTGTCAACAAACAGGTTTAATAAGGTTTAATGTTACAGCCCGGGTATCTTCCTACAATCAGGTGGGGTTCACTCCTCCTATCATATAGGAGCGTGTGCCCTTTTCGACAAGAGGAGTTTGGTGATTGATCAACATTTCATGACTTTTAACTTTTGCACGGCAATGAAAGCCTACATCACTTGGATCGAAAACTGTCGATTTGTACCTACCGCGGATATGGCAGAAGAAACAGCGGTGACCCTCCGTTAAAAACAGAAAAACAACATAGACCCGTTTGCCCCCCTCGATCAAAACGGTACAAAAAGAACAAACATTGATTTTACCGTTTTGATCGCGGATATGGTGTTGAAAAAGGAAGCGCCCCCTGGTAAAAACGGTAAAAAAGAATCGATTTTTGCCGTTTTTACCGCGGATATGGTAAAAGAAAAAGGGCCGTACCCCCCCGTGAAAACGGAAAAAGCAAAACGGTATTTACCGTTTTTACCGCGAATATGGTAGACAGAAAACGGGACGCCTAGAACAAAAGGAGCGCCCCCCTGGTAAAAACGGTAAACCATGCAAATGTTCGATTTTTACCGTTTTTTTCCGCGGATATGCTGAAAAAAAGGGGTGCCCCTCCGGTAAACACGGTAAAAACAGAAAATGTTCGATTTTTATCGTTTTTACCGCGAATATGGTAGACGAAAAAGGGGTGCCCCCCCGCGGGGGAAAGCGGTATTTTTTTCGATTTTTACCGCTTTTACCGCGTTTGTCTCTTGATCGCCCCAGGCTCGTGCTCAAAACAAGCAGACACGATTTGCTTCGTCCTTTGAGTGCATGGCTGCTCCGTTCAACAAGATATGTGATCACACCAGAGAGCGATGCATTTCCTGCAAGAGAATCATAGGAAAAATGTTCAGAACAGGGTTTGCCAGATGGCCAGGTATTAAAATCCCTTTTGCCAGCTGTCGCCTATCCCAGTACTTGTTCTGGAACCCCATTGCCGTTCGGATTTGTGTCGGGCAATTCAAGGCATAGAGGCCGCAGAGACCAAAGAGGCCAAGGCTGAGATGAATTTGAAGGAGGTGAAAGGAGGAGCTGTGATGGAGGAGAAGCTCCAGGAGCTGAAAGGGTAGGGAGGAGAGGATCAATGGAGGATGGCAGAGTCATTCACTTGCAATGGTGACTACTGGGCCCTTGGTAGGGGTAAGATGACCAACCCCCATGCCGAGTTCTGACCATGGCGCACATGATGTGGGGTGTTCATTTAGGCAGATTTAGGTACCCTCCCTCAGACAGAGGTTGAAGTTGAAATTCCACGGGCCATGTCTCCATGTTTTCGGCGATTTTGTTTGAGGGGTGGACATTATAGGTTTCTAGGCGGGTTTCATGTCTTTTCTCGACATCCAAAGGCCAATCCATGAGTTTCTTTCGCCAGGAGCGGCCACTGGGCAAGGAGGTGCGGGCTTGCCTGCTTGGGCGAGGGGGGCAGGCGGCACCCGCTGACACCAGAACTTCTTATGATAGGGAAGCATCAGATCGACTAAACCTGCCTTGCCGCCAACATGTGTCTTGTGCGAATGTGCTTCCTGGAGGCGCGCTCAGGTGGAAGGTGATGGATGTTGCTCGAAATTTTTAACATGCTGTCCCATGGTCAAGCTTCACATCCACCAGAAGGTGCTACCACTTCGGGTTGATCAGTGAAAGGCTGCAGTCCTTTTTGGGGACATAGGATTGGCTGAGGCATTCGTCAGCACTTGTCATGGATGCTTGGTGGCCAGCTGACCGTAGAACTGCGCAGCATGAGCGGCAATCCTTCGATTGTTTGGACGAGAGGACCGGGCTTGGCTTGGAGCTCCCCTCCGTTTCACCCGCCAAAGGCACCAAAATGCTGAAGCTGTGTGGTATGGTGCTTTGTCATAACGAGATCGGGCAACCATTTTCAACATCAGAGATGTGGATGTGGAAGGTCCTGTAATTGGGTCAACTTTTGAAACAACGGCACTTCCTCTCATAGTGGTTTCAAGCCTGAACTTCGACCAGAAATGGCAGATAGACGAGCTTTTGCCCTTGGCAGTGGCAGTGTTTGTAACATATTTGCTTTCGGTGAGCTACCAGCATCTTCCCCATCTTCACTACCTGAACGCAGCCGTTGGTCCAGCAAGACGGATCTCTTGTGCAGCATGCGCAGTGGCCAGGTGGCAAAGAGGTCACCAAATCTGGGTCCACTCGAACGTCCGCTTTGGCATCACAAGTGAAGGGAGAAGATCTCTGAACATCTCTTAACTCCTCAATTAACATGGACATCTCTCTGGTTCTTGCCCACTACCCCTCCTGACCCCGAGTGCCACACGTCGCTTCGTTCCGGCCTGAGGAGTGGCCAGCAGCCCCGGCTTTGAGCTGAATGGGATCAATCATAATCTTCTGCAAGCAGGGAGCCAGGGATGGGAGTCGCGGCCAACTGTTCGGTTTGCAAGTTGACCATTCGGTTTGCATGTGGGTTGAATGTGGAAGGATCCCTTCAACTCTGAGGTCTCATGTTGAACGGAGGGAAAGCCAAAATAACAGTTTGCTATACTAGACAAAAGCTGCTCCAGCAATATCCCACAGACTCAGACGAGATGGGTTCTTCTGGATGATGTGCGCTGCCAGGGGTGCTTGCAAGTGGTTCATGTGGTTTCTGTCGTCTTTCACACTCCTGCAATGAACGAACAACAAATACCCCCTCGTTTCCTCCGGGGTGAAAGCAGTTTCCCCATCGAGCTGAACAGTTCCCATGTGCTTCAGGAGTAACCTCAAGGATGCCAGCAAGGCGATTGCGGAGCCTCGGGCCTTTTTCGCGCCATCAGACCGGGGGAGGAAAACGCGTGGTACATCCACAAAAGGGCTGGATTTCATTTTTTAAATATAGTTTAATTCCATGATAATTGATAAATATAGACAATTCCCAGTTGCCCTTATTTCAATGCCGAGCTGCCTGGAGTTTGCATGGCAAGGAACCGTTCCTCTTCCCTCGTGCCGTTGTGCGGCCGGCACCTCCTAGCTTGTGGCAAAGCCAACCGCTGATCCACGCTTGGGGCCCTGGTGGTGAAACTGCTTGGAACTTGCGATGAAACGCCACCGCTGAGGTGTCAGAAGAAAGGCACTGGTCGCAGCTGGAGCAGATCTCTGAGAGCTTGCACCAGGAAGAGATGAGAAAACCGGCTTAGGTATGCGTAGTACGTAGGTGATTTCTTCAGCACAATAGATGGCAATACTGCTTTTGATACGTTGTAGAGGCAAATTCCTACACAATGCTTCAACCAACCAGCACTTTTGGGCCCTCCAGGAGCTCAAGTCTTTCCTCCAGATCTTTTCCATCCGCTTGGAGTCGCAGGAGGCCCGTTGTGAGGGTGAAAGATGGCTCAACGGCCAGAGGTTTGTGACAGGTTGGTTGGTGGGTCAAAGAGGACAGGAACTGGCCGGCCGACCGTCGCCATTCCTGGCAGGTGTTTGGCTAACAGAAGCGAAGTTTACCAATTAGTTCCAGGCCGCACGCAACAGGCGCCTATAAGCGTAAGTTGATTCCTCTTAAACTGGATTGAAGCTACCATAAGCACAGCTATTCCAAGAACACTTGCTGGCACTTCGACTCGCGCATACCTCTTCAAACCAAGAGCTAAGGCCGAGGGAAAGTTCTAGAACCATGATCTGCGGATGAATCCGCCCATCTGCGCGGATTGAATCTTCGGACGCCCCGGCTGTAGATTTTTCGGTCGCCTGGAAGCTGCGTCGTTGTAGGCTGTTGTTCCGGAGAGAACACGTAATCGTCGTAGGCAGGCGTTTTCCTGTGCAGACTCTCTTCAATCTTGCTTCACGGACCGAAGACTTCAGTTGAAAAAAACCTCCCACTCCACAGTGGACTTGGCGTCAGAAGCTACACCGCAGCTACAACCATGCCTTCCCCAGCTATGAGATCATTAAGGTCATTAAGGGAACATGCAACCGTTTCATGACCAACCATCCAGTCTGACACAGTGACCATGGCTCCATGATACCAGCCTGACTGATTGCCTTATAGCGGCAGTTGGCTCCACCAAGTGGGATGGAGACGTTCGATGACCATGGCCGACCACCCCGACACGTGCGACGCCGGCGCCGGGCGCTCGGCAGGCGGCGCTCTCCGAGGCGACCCGGGAAGTGAGGAGATCCTCGGACCGAGCCGCTGGGCTGCAGCTTTTGGGTGAGGACCCAGGTCACCGGCCGGTGGGGGAAGTGGACGCCAAAAAGGAGAAGATTTTGAGGACCAGAGGATTTAAACCAGAGGATTTTGCTGGTCATATAGTGTAAGTCAGTTTACTGGGAGATTGCTTCTTCGGAGTATGCTGATTTGGGTGTGATGAAGGGTTTCTTAGATGCGCGCAAGTGGAAAAGTGGGCTCCAAAGATTGCTTTAAACCTTCAGGCATCAGCACATGCGGAGTCACATGTGGTCTGTCGGCTGGGAGAGGATGGATGGTTGTTGCGTCACAACAGCTGAGGTGATGGCTGAATCTCGGCATGTTTTGGTGGGCCATTGGGTACAGTGATAGTCGATAGTGTTACGATTTTCTCACCATCTCCTTGCTTACTCTTGCCACCACAAATCAACAACCAAGGACCTTCAGAAAAGGTTCGACACTTTCCTGGAGCAGGCGCAGCTGAGAAGTCACAGCATGTGGTGGGATTTTCGGTGGCCTGATGCTTGTCAACATTTTGCACTCACTTTTGACTATGTTTCGTGATGTTTCGTGGATGCTGTCCAGCATTTGGCAAGCCCAACGTTGTCCTTCTGGTGATTGGGGGTTCTACTGAGACGCGCTTGATGTGCCAGGAGAGCGAACGTGCTCACTTGAGGCTGGAAAAGGCTGGAAGCAAGTCGCTGAAAATGAATCAGGGCCACACTGAAAAAGTCACAAAAACGATCAACCACGTGCTTTTCCTTCAAACATTACCCTTGTGCGAATAACCTGCCTAAAATATCCTAAAATCGGGTGTATATATATATATATATCTTATGCTCAGGCCCCAAAACCCTTGCCATTTTAGACAAAAGGCACTGCAGTCAAGAACAGGAGCCTAACGCTTCTTTGACCTTTTTTAGACAAGAGGGTGTGTAAACATAATTGAAGGTCGGGGACACATATCTTATATATATATATTTTATAATATATAAGTCAGCTCCTATGATCCTATAGAGGTTTTAGGCTTGAAGAGGTTGCACACTTGATTCTAGAACGAGTTTGTGCACATTTCTATTTGCAGCCCTTGGCTTTGCAATGATTTACAACTGCTTTTTTTGCTGTTGTTGTTGTGGCTGTAATCCTCAGGCATATTGATTTCAGAGTAGCCATGCTTTGCCTAATATGTGTTTCCTCACATGTTTGTTGATCTTGTGAGCTCGATTCCATACTACATGTATTTTCTTGGTACTACTGATTCTATACAGTTTTCTTTCTATTTCGCCTCATGTACCTAGGGTTAGGCTTCTAAAATGGTTTGCGCTGACCTACCCCCTGAAATGGAAACCGTGTCTTTCTTGGAAGCCCATTTCATCGTGCTGGCAAAGAACCAGGGATTTCATGACCATGCCTCCATGGTCATTGGCCCACCATTGTGATCGTACGCTGCACGGTGTCCTCGTCATGGAGTCAACATGGATTTGGGTGTTCCGGATTTATACAGAAGATGACCGGTGTGGCGCTGCTCCAAAAGGCTGCTGCTCGGAATGTGAAGCCAGATGAGCAGGCAGGTAGATAGCAGCGAGATATGTGTACAAGAAGCAAAAAGACCTCGCGGTGAAGCAGATTCTAGAAGATTGCTCATTTGTTCCCTGTTGGCAAGGAAACATAAAATGGAAACCTTGGTGCTGCGGATTACTACTTTGTTTTTTTGCAGCATCACTGAGTTTGACAAGACGTTCCGTTTATGGTTTATATTTTGCTATGCAATACCGACCCGGGGTCGTGAGGGACCTTTGGGGCCTTTCAAGGGGCTCCTGTGGGGCTTGGTGGTTCTAGCCCTTTGGATTCGCAGGTGCAGCAATCTCTGGAACTCCGACTGCAGGAGGCGCAGCAAACGGCTGGACGGGGTCCCACCCGCCCGCGATCACCAAGAAACACCACCCTGGATTTTACGAAAGCCAGCCGATAGGCTAGGCTTGAGCTCTTAGACCGAACGAAGTGAGTTAAGGGGGTGTGGGGGGGGTAGGCCACGAAAAGGCACCATTTGAGAGGGAAACCCGGAGCTTGCCTGGGGAGAGCGCGTCCAAAGCGAGGGTCAGAAAAGCAGTGAAAATGGGGTTGATGATGCGAGTGATGCAATTAGTGCATCATTAGCATCACGAAGGGCTGTGGAGGCTATTTGGACAATGGGCATTGAGCACTGGAGTGGAGACAGGCACCCATGTAGAGAGCAACCATCCTAGTCTCTAGTATACTTGTACCGTTTCCTCGGTCGTCCAGGTGCACCGAACGTTGTTCCGGCTTGGCCGCGCAGCGAAATAGATACAGAATAGATAGATATTGATAGATAGATCGATTGATTGATAGATAGTGGTAGAAGCAGGGCAGTCTTGGCGGAAACCATGTCCCAGAGTGGTTGGTGCAGGAGTGTATCCACCAACCCTGGAAGTCCCATACTGACGTGTAAAACGCTTGGTTCAATAATGGCTGTGCGGCTATGTTCACAGTGGTGGCTCGACTTTTCGGGCCAATACAGTCAATACACGGTTTGGCCATTGGCTGTTGTGGAACCATGTAGCTGAGACACGTCAGCGTGCACGCAAAGGTATGAGGCTAGTTGGGTACGAACCTAACGCATGCACACCAAAACCTTGGACATCCTGCACCCCATCGCTTGAGTCAAGCTCTCAAAAGCAAGGATATCGACATGTCCTGGCCAAGCATGCACGACCGGGCAATTTACATTCGTTGTTGGACTTCAATTAAGGAAGCTATATATAGATGGTATTGACTGGACCGGCAAAGCAGGTAAAACATACCCTAGTCTATTTAGTGGCTGGAGGCTTTGTGAGCGAACGAAGTGAGCACTTTTCTTGCGCCGGACGGGCTGCTGGGAACGGTGAGACACGTCAGCGTGCACGCAAGGTATGAGGCTAGTTGGGTACGAACCTAAAGCATGCGCACCAAAACCGTGCACATCTTGCACCCCATCGCTTGAGTCAAGCTCTCAAGGTTATAGTCACGGATCTATGCAATACTTTTGGATGACGGTTCGTCTCTGTGTTTTATGTTTCTGTGTGTTTCTGACTCTTGTCTCTATGGTTATGTGTCTCTATGTCTCTGGGAAGAGAGGTGTAGCCGCGACTTATGGTTATATTTTGGGCGGATCAGTGGCATAAGCGCAAGTAAGGCACTGAGAAAGTCTCTTCGCTGTCTCTGGAGCCTTGTCTGCTCCGGAACCTTCTCCAGAACCTCTTCATGGACCTGCCCCGCAACCTTCTCCCGAACCTTCTTTGGAACCTGCCCCGGAATCTTCTAACCTGCTCCGGAACCGTTTGCCGCACCTCCTCCGGATCCGCTGCGGAACCTCATCCGGAACCTGCTCCGAAGCTCGCTCTGAGTCTGCTCCGAAGTCTTTGCTATGGCAGAAGACCCCTACGCTTCGCTGTTGGGGAATACTGCTTGGATGCATTGGGGCCAGTCAGTATGGTATAGTTGGTTGGCAGCGACGAGTGCCTATCAGAAAAGGGGCCCGCGTAGATAGCAACTTGGTGGGGTGAAGAGATTGCTGTTTGAGGATGGGTTATAGGTTATAGTCACGGATCTATGCAATTTTCTTGGATGACGGTTGGTGACACCAACGCTGAGGCATATAGTTCCTGCCATCCTCCTAGTCATCCTTTCAGAGAAGTCTGGTTGGATTGGATGTCATGGTGCTAGTATGGTAGTTGGTTGGCAGCGACAAGTTGCTATCAGAAAAGGACCCCGTGTAGATAGCAACTTCTCTGTGTTTGATGTCTCTGTGTTTTCTGACTCTATGTCTCTATGTCTCTATGGTTGTGTCTCTATGTCTCTGGGACGAGAGGTGTAGCCGCGACTTATGGTTATATGTTGGGCGGCTGGGCGAATCAAGTAAACCCAAAGTAAAGTCCCCAACAGCACTGACGTTTCTTTTTCCCGGATTCTCAAATAGACCACCAAACAGGGACGCTCCAGAGAGCACCGCGCCAGGAGAATCGAGAAAACCTAAAACATTCAACACTTCACGCTGTGCTCCGATCTTGATCTACTCCACGTTGATACAAACCCCACGAAAGCTACAGGCATTTAACAATAAGTGCTCCGCTATCTTTTTTCCCAGTCTTGCATCGCCATATTGGTCTCTCGCTGGTTTTCGTCCTCTCCTTTCTCAGGTCTGCTTGCTTTGTGGGGAGTAGGGCGGGCCTTGTTTTGTTCCCGGCACTTGAGAAGTGGCAGCCCAAAGTTCTTGTTTGAGTTGTTTGTCACCAGTGACCATCATGAGCTCTTGGTCACCACCATCGCCGGAAATCCCTCAGCAAGTCTCAGGGACTGATCAAGGGAAGTGAGGGTTGCATACTTTTCTAGGGTAGGGTGCGACGTGGCGTCAGCGCGGCGATGATTTTTTAGGAAGGTGCGATGGTTTGATTAAGGGGCACTCGAGAAGGTAAGGGTTTGTCTCTTCTGTCAGATCTCCTTACCCAACCAACCGATTCGCCATCGCTGCGACACAGATGGAGAGCCACCTTTCATCCCAAGTGATCCTTGGTAGCACAAGGTGATCCCAGGATGTCCCTGATCCCTCGAAGACCTGGGGTTACTGGACGAGTTGTGCAGCTGCGCATGAATTGATTTTGCCCGTGTGGCAATGTGAAATCCATCAAGGGAGAGTGGTTTGTTAAGGGCTCCCAGCATCTATTTGTGATTCAACTTGCACAGTTCCCATGATGGAGGCTTCTCCAGACTTGTGGCGCCCCTCTTTTGATCCGCAGTGATCGGCGCCAGATGTGGAGACCAAGGTTGTCAGAGACCAGCCGTCTTTGGCAAAGACTCGAGGAGCGCTTGTCCTCGCCCCTTGGCAGCTTGGTTCCCTTTGGGGAGCACACCATCAACATGCTTGTGCTTTTACAGCAAAATCTGTTTCGGGACCATTCCTATACTTTTCTCATCCTTTCCAATTGCCCTGCAGAAGAAACACTCTCCTTTGTTATGCATGAATTACGGCAGACTTTGGCGCTCACAAAGAGCCAGATTTCATGGCACGACACCAGATATGTAACCCAGAAGAATGCGGTCCAACCTCTCTGACTGTTCCTACAGGAAGCCAGCCCCTACGAGCGACGCTGCAGAACAGCTCCATGGCCGCATCTGCATGGCGCAAACGACGCCGGGATACAAGGATAGATGCAATGTGGTGGATTATAAGTGTCAGTCTTACTTGGAGACATGGACCAATTCTTTTGGAACTGTGGGGAAGAGAATGCAGTGAAGATGACGCATATGATCGCATATGTATACATATATATATAGATTACAAGTCTAAGTGCAGTATGATTTTGTGTTTTGTTTGCACTGATTCAGTGCCATAGATTCACGTAAAGGCCGTTGCCGTTGCCGTTGTTGTTGTTGTTGTTGTGGTTGTGGTTGTGGTTGTCGTTGTAGTAGTGGTAGTAGTAGTAGTTGTTGTAGTTGTAGTTGTTGTTGTTGGAAACAAAATTAACAGCCGCCCAACATAATTGTCACATGTTGCAACTTTGGAACTTCAAGGGGCCAAGGTTAGGGATACGGTTGAAGGTTTGAGAGAAAGTTGGTTTCGTTAGTAGGCGGACTTGTTGGACTTGTTTCACTGAGGTCTGGGCTGGTCCGTTTTTAGTGTTTTTGAGGTGTTGTTCTGGAGGGGGGGCAAAAAACAACAACGGGGCTGCAGTCTTTGTTTCTAGGAGGGGGTTAGAGTCGGGTAGAGACAACAACACCATTTTAAAGGGGGCCCAAAAAACAACAGCGCGGCTGCAGTATTAGTTTCTAGGATGTGGTAGAGGTTCTAAGTAGAAGTTTTACAGAGGCTTTGCTGACCAGATGCTACTACTACTACTACTACTGCTGCTGCTGCTACTACTGCTACTACTGCTACAACAACAACAACTACTACTACTACTGCTACTACTACTACTACTGTTACTGTCAAAAAACAACGACGGGGCTGCAGTTTTTGTTTCCACCCCCTTGTAGAGACAAAGGAAGAATATATGTTGCAACTGGGGTGCAATTTTTGTTTGTACCTTGTTGTTGTTGTTGCTGCTGCGCCGTTTGTTTTGCAGAGCTCATTGCTTCAGACGTTTATAGCTCCCTGCAGATCTGCCCTTTTGGGGGTGGAATTTCATGGCACCACCCCAGGTGTTTTAGTCCGACTTCCCCCCCCCGTTTTGGCGCAGGGCGGTCCGGGTGCATGGCCCGGACACTGGGCTTCGCCGAAGCCTTCAGTCCCTGGAGGAGCGCTTCAGCGCGGCACAAGCACGGCAGACGCGCAGCGAGATGACCGCGCAGCAAGCCTTGGCGCAGGCGATGGAAGTGGCCACTCTTCTGGGCCCGAAAGTGGCATGCAGCAGGGTTTTAGAGGTCTCAGGGTTTTCGATTTATAGTGACTATAGTGTTTTTGATGTAATTATTACTTATGCAAGTGCTGCCAGCAGAGGAATCCAGCAAGGCCCCTGGTCGTGGCAAGCGCAGGCAAGACAGCTGGAGGCGATTCTCACGGAGTTCAATGTGGAGGATCATTCTTTCCAGGGCCGGATGGAGCTATATTGAGCCGGTTTAAGTTGACTTTCTTTTCAAGGTGGTCATGTGAATCCTGGCTGACTGCTAGTGAAACTTCAGAACCTGGTCTGTTTTTTGTCTGTGATTCAAGATGTCTCAAGACTACCCGAAAGTTCAGATTATGCTGCTGCACCCCTTGGATCTATATGCTCTGAAGTATGGTTTTGAATGATGGGCAGGATCATGCATCCTTCCAGACCTTGTCACGACAAGTTCGGCAAATCTCGAAGACATTGGCAGACGCTTCCAGAAGTGTTCCTTGGACTTGCAGTCGGGATGTGTGCCCCAAGAATTGAATGCCATCCAACCAACCAGCCCTGCTTGTTGTCATACAAACCACAACGCCCACAACATCCCCGGCTCCTTTTGCTAGCTGGCGTCCGTTTGGTCTTTTCATGTTTGTTCTTTTTAGTGTCGTTCCAGTCTTGTGGGACCCTTTCGAAGGTCAGTGTGCATGAGGGGTCTTTACCATCCATCGCCGCAGACAACCAAATAAACCCTAGCACAATATGAGGCAACAAGACTTGAAGGATTGAAGGCACCTCCTACGGTGTATGCGCAAAGCATTCAATATAGTATATAGCATATTCACAAATCAATAGACAATATCAATGCAGGTTCAGTACCTACCACTACAGCCAACTTTGATCTAGAGTACTCCTTGTGTCTCACTTCGAGTCCTTGGGGAGGACATGGGTGGATGGGTGACGCGATGCAGGATATTTTGTGATCGGCCGCATGTTTTCAATGTCGGATGACGCTGCAGCCCACGGTGGACAAACAAACATGTCTAGATCAAGATCTCGAAGAGATAGAGAAGTGACATCCCAATAAACCTAGGTGTCTTCCGAGACTTTCGCAGCTTTTCAGACCAACTTCTTTGCCTTGGAGCGTGAGGTTGGTGGGCAAGCCACATGTCACGTGAGATGAGACTTCAATGGATCTACAATCCTGTCCTACTTTCTATCCAGCAACTACTTGTGCAAATCACGGTCCAAAGAAAGGACTCCTTGTTACATGACATCATGTCACAATTTTTGTTTCCATGGTCATGCAGAATGCGAGAGGAAGATTCCAAGTGTTAAGCGTTAAACAACTCAGTTGCTGGCTTTTGGTTTCTGATGGTTTCAGTGTCAGGTACACTGGGACCTTGCCGTGCGCCTTGCAAGCTTGGAGGAGTGATGCAGTCCCTACGCCATGCACTCGCCGGTTTCTTTTTCTCACACACCGGGGGAGAGAACACCTGGCTGCATGGCAGCTTTAAGCTCTTCACATGTCTAATTGTAATTGCTGAGGAAGAGGACCTGCATTTTCTACATTTGAGACACGTTGTGCCAGGACATGCCTGGCTGAGGTGAAGATTTCTGGGAAGGCTTAATGTGAACTCTTGATCAATTGGACATCCATTTGGAGTGTACAATCTCTTTACTTTTTTCAATCAATCAAGAGTTTGCATTACAGTCGTTGGGCGGTACTTGAGATGGTATTTGAGGCCTGGAAAACATGGGACACTCAGGAGACTGCTGCCAACGCCAGCTCAAAAGGAGGCTGGATGCGAAAGGGAGCCAACGCACAGCATGGGTGAAGCACTCACCGAGATCTGATCATACATCAGGGTGTTTTGGCAGCTTTTCAGCAGGGTGTTTTGCATGCATGCCGTTCTTTCTGCTTTCTTTCATCCGATGAAGCGGTACACTTCGTCAGTGAATCCAGTCACCAGTGTTGCGGACAGACTTAGCAACGTACTTGTGCAATGTTTGAATCTTTCGCCCCGTCACTACCATACCTACTGTATGGAGGATGCAAGATTTTGATACGGCCCGGCCAGGTGCTTCCAAGGAGGTGCGCCTGCCAGAGCCGCTGCGAGGCACACCAGATGGTTTGGGAGTGACACTAACTGCGCTGTTGCATGATCAGTCCAACTGGTGTAGTATGATGTCTTTTTTCGTCGCACATCAATACAAATATATATATATGTATAATTTCGCATATTAATTTGATATGCACACACAATATATATATATATATATGACTGACATCATCCTAATATCGCAGCTTAACTGGCTATGATAGACAACTGCTTGGAACTGATGGATGATTTGGGGCGGGCACGTGAAATCCAGGGGATTCATGGCGTCCCGGCTGCTTTGCAGGCAGTTCCTTCTGTACGTCGATCATTGGTTTGGACCCCCCCTTCCCTCACAAATCGGCTTTTGCAGGCCCCCCAGAGCGGTAGCCGTTTGAAAGAACACCTGCCCGAAACGGAAGATGACCCCGAGAGAAATATGTGCTGAATGATGCTGAATGCATATGCGGTGCTACTCTATAGAATACAGTGGTTTCAGAGTAGATGGCACAGTCCCCGTTTATGGTGGTTGATGGTGGTTCATATGGGTTCGTATAGAAAGCTTCTTGGAAACCGTGCCATCGGTTTCTGAAACCACCGGTCGTCTTGACTGTTGTGTCGCTTTCCCTCGCTGGGCAGGACCTGCCGACGTTTGCCTCGTCGGCGCCGATGAGGGTCTGCATTTCGCAGATGGGACTGTGGATGCCTGGCGAAATCCATGGCGTCCTGGTAGCCACATCAACAGCAGGATTATTCTGCAAGAGGAGCAACATCGAGAATTATCGCTCGAGCTCATTTTTTGGCAGGCGAGTCATGTACACCATTTGATTCCGCAACACATGCTTGCTCCTCGATGGGTCTTTCAGGACTTGTTTGCCTTTCCGGTCCAGAAAGTAGAAATGGAACAGCACAAGAAGACGAGGATACCTAGACTGAGACACCCCGCTCGAGCTCACTCTAGTTTGAGGTTGAATCATGATTGAACTGATTCATCAGTTTTTCTCATGGCTGCCCCATCGGTCAAAACCAATCACAAGAAGATTCACTCCAGATTTGATTCCAGTAGAGCCAGTCCACTGCGACAACCCACATGGCGAAGAACGCTTGACTGGATTCATTTTTCTCTCTCTCTCTCTATATATGTATCACGCTTATATAACTCCTCATTTCATTTCACAAACGTGTTGATCTCTTCATTTTTGCGCGACTGATCGTTCGGTCATGTTCAGTTCTCCCTGGCAGAATCGCGAGAGAAACCGCAGCACATCAGTGGGAGTGGGTGGGTTTACTGAGGGTTGGGACATTGTTTTCTGGAGGTCCCTGTGCCCGTTTTCCGTAAGAATCAAGAACGACCTATTTCGTATCCCCAAACATGCGCCACAAGTCTTCCCCCCATGCAATCTGGCAAATGTAAGGAGAAGAGCCGCGCAATGCGAGAAGGCGTTCCTGCAGTCCACCAAGACACTTGGAGAACTTGTGGTGTTGGGCTCGAGGTTTTGAAGCATCAGCCGCATTAGCTGAGCTGTTTGCCAGACCCACAGGAATGTTGGACTTTCCTTTATGCCAATCCGAGGGGCAGACATTTTGACCTTGATGCGAACATCTGTGAACTGTAAGCTGCGATGTTCTCTTGACCTATGCTGCTTGAGTAGTAGTTTGACCGCCTTGATTCTTTGCACAATTCACGAGCTCGCAGGCTGGGATGATCAAGTGATGTTAAGTGAGAATATGGGTGTGTTTTGAGGACAGGAGAGGGACCAGAAACATCATCAAAGACCATTTATTAAAAGCAACAACCACCGTTGACGAAGTTTACTGAAGAGAGAGAGAGAGAGGTCCTCCTCAATTCTAGTGCCACCCACCTTGATCGAGCTTGTGGATTCACTTTCTCTGAGGCCAGCCCACCTACACCAAGGCCAGCCCACCTTCGTCCTTCGTCACGACCAGCCTTTCGGCCCGCGCAACGCATTGCGCGCTGGGTTCACCGGTCAGGAGCGGCCCACCGTCGCCGGCCAGTCGGACCAGCCGTGAGGGCCCACGAGTCGCCTTTGATCGCCTTGGGGGGGCCAGATGAGCCCAGCAGATGAATGCAGATGAAGCCAGACCCTTCCATCACTGGAGGTCCTTCTGAATGGTCAATCATTTCCCCTTTTCACCTACTATGGTTACTATATAAGTCTTCTCATCATGCACGTTCCTACTTCTCAAGGCTCCTGTTACAAAGGTCTTTGGTTGGAGGTCTATGCCATTCAGCTTTTTCTTGTCCAGATTTAGACAATTGGATAATTGTTTCTTCAAGGTTGAAAAGCATTTGAAGGGATGTCTATAACTTAGCCGCTAAAGCCTTTGCACTATTTTGGGGCAACCCCAGAAAAAGTACGACCGGGACCTGGTTAAAGTTCAGATCTACAGACCGATTGGAACCTGTTATTAAGCCCGTTGCGCCGTTGCGCGAACATTATCCAGTATATATTATATATATATATGGCATCAAACATCTAAAACTCCACGCAGACAGATGCACATTGATTGAAGCTGCAGATGCTTCCTGCAGAGCAAGCACAATGCATTTGCATCTATCATAACTTTCCGAGAGGGCTCAGTCCTTATGACACACTTCCAATATGTTTCACATTTGCCATTCTGCAAGTTACTGTGTCATCCATCTAGCCGAGCCTATGCCCCCTCGGTACTCACAAGTATTGATTTCAACGAAGTGCGATAAGGACCCCTCCGACTTGGAAGCAGATGAAGCTAGCTGGCTAGGATGCTCCACGCGCAACGTCTGTCAGAGACTTGCAGCACAATGCTTTTTGGGCGTTTTATGGCTCCAAGCCAGGCAAGGCCAAAGGAATGCCACTGCCGAAAAAATGTCATTGGTTTGAAAAGATGCCCTTGGGTGTTTGGGGTTTTGAGGTGGTGGTCAGCCTGCAAAATCGTTGCACAAGACTACTTGGCTTGGAGGTCTGACATGAGGACAGATGGGTGCTTTCTTAGTGGCGGGATTTCATTGAAGCAGTCAATGTGAGTGCATTGTGAGTTGCAGTTGGGAGTTTGTCCAAGTTTTGCACGACTGTGCCACCCAAAATGGGACGCCTGCACCACTATCCTTAACCCGCTTTCAACCATAGAGTGCTATGCAATACGCTCGTCATCCCAAGTCCAAAGGTAAGACAGACTATGATAGACTCTAGACCGAGGCCCGGCGTTCTGGATTTGATTTTAGAGCCACACCCACTAGCGACACACACTGAAGACCAATTGACTTCACGCCAGGTTATGATTGCCACCGTCCACCCACCAAGGGCTTCAAACGCGCAGAGAACGATGTCAAGAGCCACTCAGCCGATGTGTGATGGGCAGTGATCTTCGGTTTGGCTTTTTTTAAACCACTTTTTTCTGCTTTTTGGCATACGGACCCTCTCGTACCTTTTTCGATCGCTCTAAATTGACACTACCTGGTGCAATCAGTATAAAAGCGTGTCAGGTCCCCTGATGTTGTGCATCGGGACACTGCAAGTGTGCATGTCAACCAAGATGAGTCGAAAGTCGGTCTAACGTGGGTCTAGCGCCGGTGTGTGTATGTGTCACAAGGAGCGTGGGTCTAGCGTGGGTCTAGCATGTATGGTCTAGCGTGGGTCAAGTGTCACATGTCAGACCAAGAGCACGTGCCCGTGTTGGATGCCGAGCCAGTGTGTGCTTGTTGCATCTTGTTGCAAGGCATTTGGGCAGCCTGTGGTCCAGCCGCAATCCCAGCTTGAAACGACATGTGCTGGGCCAACTCGCCACAATATATCAGTAACCCAGGCCCATGATTTCACTTGGTTATCTGGGCACAAACCCCCAAAACGGCGCTATCATCGACTGATCCATGTACTTTTGATTGTTTTTGACCTCCCGAGCTGTTGTGCAGCATACTGAGGACAAGACCCTCCTCCTCCAGGCTGCGGCCTTTGTCGGTTTCGGGGCTTTTCACTCCTATAGTCAACAAAGTGGAGGTAGGTAGAGTCAGGGAGAACCCTTGCCTTGACAGCACGTTGCACTGTGAGGCGGGCACTGTTCAGCTGCCAATTCCTGTGACGAAGTGGTTAGCAGCATGCTCGGCAGGTGCGAGAGTCTTCAAAAAATCAGATCTGCAAAGTTCCCAGATGCTCCTATAGACAAATCAAGACATATCATGGGCTACTGCAAAAAAACGATTGTAATCCTGGCCTGAGAAGAGGCAGTTGCAAGCAAGGATGCCTGGTTTTCTGGCCTCAAGGTATCTCAAGGTAAGAGAGCATCTTGCGTTACCATTGATGCGGCATCGCCATGCATGGCCATGCACCGCCATGCATCGCCACATCCTGTCGCCCCACTCGACCACAGTGCAGTGCATGTCATCAGCGAAATCGCTTTATATGCATGTGTGAGCTTGTCAAGATCCTGCTCACCACATAATTTTTTCCAAGGCCATATCGATTGGCGGGCTGGTTGGCCGACATTTGGTCAGCAACATGGCTGGTGCCTCAGATCCCATGTGAGTCGAAAGAAGAAGTCCTAGACAAAATTGAAGAGTGGTTGAATACGGTCGGTGGTTTCACACTTCTTATATCGTCTTATTAATAAGTCATATTATAATTACTTAGTCTGAACCTTCACTTGCGATGATAACCATAGTGATAAACAATATGTATATATATATATTATATATATATATTGTATATACTGTACTTAGACAATATAGACTTCAGTTGCGCTGAAATCACATCATTACCAGCTTCCTGAAGGATTCTTGGGGTGGTAGTGGTAGGTGGATGGACCTCGATCAATTGCGAAATATTCCTTGGCATTTTTCTACTTGTGCCAAGATCAATTCTATCAGTGAAAGAATTGGTTTAGGTGAAAATCAGCGGCAAAACATGGTTTTCATCCTCAATTCTAGGAATCAGCCTCATTCAGGGTTGCTTGTCACCTGGTCTTGTCGGCCTACCGTCCTGTGTGGCAAGCCTACAATGCTGAAGTACAATCTTACGGAAAGCTCAGAATTAGGTCAGAAAGGCCTCTGACATTCAAACGTTTCGACGAGATTACCCTACTATCAAGAGCATCTCATCCTGAAGTCTTGATTTTCAATTATTTGGTGGGTTCCTTCAGATTTGTTTGGGAGTTCTGTACCTTCTTTACCCGCTTCCCATGTGGGGGCAGGGGCAGGAGATTGCTGCGGACTTGGCATGTTGCGTGAAGTATCCGGAGTGGTTGACACCCTGATGTCAGGAGGTTTTTGTATTGTTTTTGTTTTTCAGTGAAGCCGTTGACCTGACTTCAGGTCAAGACTGCACAACGAGCCACCCAGCCGGGCAATCCTTGGGACAAGGCCCGGGGTGACCGGGTTGATTTCAAGAACTACGAACATGGATGAACCTGGCAACCAACCAGGTCGTCATAGTGACCATCCAGAAGCGTCTCCTGGCACACGTCCGAACGAAGCTCTAACCACGATGCTGCGGCACACACTTCGATCCACGCTCGCAAGAGCTAAATCAGTTTGGAACTCCAATCTAGTGATTACATTACCGGCTGAGAGCGCTGGGCAACCTGAGACCTGGGAAACAGCCCTGAGAGGGAACGGCAAGGACGGCAAGGTGAATAAGTCCGAAACAATATTGTTTACATCGCATGGTTTAAAAATTAAGGAACATGCGCAGGTACGTTTACACCCAGGTGGGGGGTCCACGTGGTTCCGGCTTCCTGCTTATCTGTGCAGCTTGAAACCTAGAGGCCTGGATTAAGGTGGAATTAATTAATGTGGTCGTGCTCCTTGAAAACAGGAGTTGGCACACACAAATATAGCCGTATCGGCGCTCCCTTGATTGAAGAGTTGGCCTGAAACTTAAAAAGCCTCTAGCAACGAAGGAACGACCTAGAAAGAGAAACAACGAAGGAGAGAAAGCAAGACCGTGCATGAATTACTCAGTGTGAAACTTCCAGGTGAATACATTAGCCGCATGACATGAAAGGAACCTAAATTATGCATAAAAAGCCTCTAGCAACGAAAGAAGGCCGAGAAAACGAAGAGAAACAACAAGAAAGAACACAAGAAAACATCAAAGTGAATACACTAGCCGCTGGGTGAAACGTACAAGCGAATACGTTAGCAGCATGGCATGTCATTTTCTTAAGTATATGTCAGTGAGTCCTGCGGCAATTGAGAAGCAATCTCAAGAAAGGACGAATGACCGGTAAGGATCAGGCAGAGCTGAAAAACCTGTGAACAATTCCCCTGAAGGGTCTATGCTCAAAGCGCCCCGAAGGGATCACACAGCACGCCACAGTGGGACGATGCTGCGGCACACACTTTGATCTATGTTCGCAAGAGCTAAATCAGTTTGGAACTCCACTCTAGTGATTACATTGCTGGCTTAGATCGCTACGACCTGATACCTGAGAAACAACCCTGAGAGGGAACGGCAAGGTGAATAAGTCCCAAACAATATCGTTTACATCATTTGATTGCAGCTCCACTCTAGTGATTACATTACCGGCTGAGAGCGCTGGGCAACCTGAGACCTGAGAAACAGCACTGAGAGGGAACGGCAAGGTGAATAAGTCCGAAACAATACTGTTTACATCACATGGTTTAAAAATCAAGGAAAATGCGCAGGTACGTTTACACCCAGGTGAGGGGTGTGTTTGTTGGCCGGAGGCTCCCCACGTGGTTCCGGCTTCCTGCTTATCTGTACAGCTTGAAACCTAGAGGGATTAATGTTCGATCCTGATTAGTAAAGGGGGGTCCCCCCCCCTGTGTTTAGTAGGGTCCTAGGTCCCCCTAGGCGTGTCTACGCTATACTTGTGTAGCACCTGTTCTTGTACATACACTAGTCTGTAGCTCTTCAGTCCGCTTTCGACATAATTCATTTGGCTCAAGACTCAAGCAGCCCAATACTGCATTCACTGCCATACAAAAGGTGTGCTTCGCCGCAGCTCGCGCACCGACCGCACTTGTTTGACTGCTTGGTGTTTCGATCAGGTCCAGTTAAGCCAACTGCCACTTCTGGGGGAACTTACCCCTCAAAGTGGTAGCGGAGCTTGTGT